TGTGTTTCAGGCCGTTCGTCTCCACATCACTGGCGTCGTAGGTCATTTCGCTCCACTCGCCGGGCTCGTCGGTGGAGTCGTTGGCCTGGAGGGGGTGGAAGTGGGAGGGGAAGAGGGGGTGGAGGTGGGAAGGGAAGAGGAGGTGGAGGTGGAAGTGGAAGAAAGAGAGATTTTGTTGATTACTTTGAGTGTTGGTTATGATGATATGTTTTTATACTTTTCTATAAATATAAAAATACCATCTAGTCACCCTTACTACTAACATAGAATCATAACGAAAGATAAATACAAAAATAAAACCTTTCCGATCTTACACCCCCCCCCCCAAAAAAAAAAAAAAAAAAAAAAAAAAAAAAAAAAAAAAATCCAGTTTTTTTTACCTTAGCCTTCCTGTACTTGAGTCGGTAGGATTCAATGGGATAGTAGCTCTCGGTCTCCCACGTGAGGGTGTAGCTGTTCTCTTCGCCGCCGTTGGGGTCGCTGGTGAAGCGGGGGGGCTTGGGGAGGCCTGGTGCCCGAGGGGGGAGGAGGGAGAGGGAGGGAGAGGGGTTAATGGTGAATTAAAACTGCGAGGAAATTGTAACATGTGCCGATAAAAATGGCAGAAAATAATGTCTTTAATGGAATATTCCCTTTTCTTTTGTAAGAAATTGTTGGCTGTAGTCTTTCAGGGTTATCTATATTTTAAGCAAAGTCTACAAGACTTATCATGAAGTAGAGGAAGATTCATTAATTAATCAAAAATCCTACAGCAATGGATAATACACCGTTTACATTTAAAGCCCACACCTAACTCTCCCAAGACCACAGCACAGCCACCGGGACTCACCAAGCCAGCCAAACTCACCAGTCATGTGGATGGACGAGGACACGGTTCCCAGGTCGTTGTGGGCGGTGCACACGTAGTCGCCGAAGTCCTCCTCCGTCACCTGCGAGATCCTGAGGGAGTGCCTGTGGCCGCCGTCCTTCTCCTCGGCGTGGGCGTCCAGGTCGACGGGCATGGCATTGAGGGTCCAGTTCACGGTGGGGGACGGGCGGGCGTGGACGATGCACACCAGCTCCACGGTGTCGCCCTCGCCGGAGCGGATGATGGCCTGCGGAGGTTGGAGGGGGAGGTGAGTCGAAGGTTGGAGGGGGGGGGGAGTGGATGAGGTGTGGAGGTTGAATAATGCGGATGGATGAGGGTGAGGAGTGAAGTTGGATGAAGTGGAGATTGAATGATGAGTGTGGATGAGATGTAGGTTTACGATGCAAAAAAAAAAAAAAAAAAAACAAGCAAAAAATAGAGAGAATATATAATAGAAAAAGAATACGCGAAAACATTTTTTTTAATACTATGTATATTTGACATACTTTTGTCCATGTTTCTGTTTTCCTACATATCGATATATATTGCCATATCAGTAATGGACAGAAAAAAAAACAGGAGAAAGAGAGACAGAAAGATAAGAGATAGCGAGATAGATTGATAGATAGATAGAGAGAGAGAGAGAAGTAGAGACATACACACCAAGAATTTGTAAAAATCAGAAAAAAAATCACACACAACACAAAGAACAAAACCTGAAAAAAAGCGAAAAGACGCAGAAGCTCCCTCACCTTTTCAGTGATGATCTCAGGTTCGTAATCGACGATGACGGACATGGAGGCGGAGGCAGGTTCACCGATGCCGTTGTCAGCCGTGCAGCTGTAGGTGCCCTCCACGTGGCGGTCGACGTCAGCTAGGGTCATGCTCTCGCCCTGGGAAAAGGGGGGAGGGAGGGGTTATGAGCCTGCTTGCCTAGTGATGTTTGTCTGTTTAGAGTGACGTGTCTTCGTTCCTAGCAATATACAGTCAAAAATGGATAATACTACAACTAATGCTTATAAGAATAACAATAATAATGATACTAACTCTAACAATAATAACAGTTATCATCATTATCATCCCCATTTTAATACTGATATCATTACCATTATTATCATCATTACAAATACCGCCTCTCTCACCTCCTCGTGCTGCGCCCCGGACGGCAGGCGGCCCTCCAGGCGGGACCAGCTGATGACCGGCTGGGGGTTGCCCTCGGCCTTGCACTCCAGCTGCACGTTGTCGCCCTTCCTCACGTGGTGCTCCGGGGGGGACACGGTCTCCACCTTGGGGGGGTACTGGACGTCGAGGAAGTGGTGGAGCTCCTTGGGCGTCGGCTGCGACTCCAGGCGGCACACGTAGGTGCCGGAGTCCGAGGCGCGCAGGTTGGAGATTTCGAGCTGGTCGTTGTCGAACTTGTAGCGGCGGTCGCGCTGCACCTTCACGTTGCCCACGAAGATCAGCTTGTCCTTGTCGTCGCCCATCGCCGCCTTCTTCACGAGCAGCACGAAGGGAGCTGCAACACCGCGGGGATTAACAACGGGCCCACTCCTTGTGACAAACTCATTAAAACAAATCAACACCCCCATTGAACCCTTCCCCCAAACCATTTAGAAATCAAGCCCAGCCCCAAGAAAACTCTCCCCAACACTT